CCGGCACTGGACCCGTCAGCCTAAAGTCAAAATTAAAACAAGTTGAAATTGTTATATTTTATAATGAAAACTACCTGTCGGTGTTATTTGTGCTTTTATTAATGGATTGAGGACCTGATAGAGGCAAATTTGCTGTGGAAGAATAATATATTTTCTTTTGTTGATAAGGTGATGAGCTAGTGGGATGGATTTTGATAGAGATCTGGATTTGGTTCTGATTCTCTTTTGGTCCACTGCAATTAAATTATCCTTCTAATGATAGTGATCAAGTGCCTGAAATGCGGTGTGCTAGGACTATTTCCTATAAAAATAAATTCCCATTTCTCATGTTAGTCCTTTTCATGCCTTGCATCTCTGTATTATATTGCCTTTGATTACTTAAATAACATCCAAAATGTCCTCATCTAGCATAAATAAATTACTCCTAAATAATCCTGAGACTAGCATAATAAGTCAGTTTATTTTTTAATGATTATAAATTTAAATTTTTTTAAAATTATTAAAGATTTACATGATTATTAACTTTAATATCCCTGAAATTAATCAAGGTATGTTCAATATGACATAAACACATATATTCTCTAAAATAAATTACTCCTAAATAAAAAAATATTACATGAAAGATAGTTGAATAAGTGCCCACTTGGTTATATTTATTTTTTAAAATGCTTTTGGTTAAGAAATATATTGGAATACTTTTATTTTTAAAAAAATTATATTTAATATCAGCATATTAAAATATTATAAAAAAGTGAAAAATAATCATTTGAATCAAAGAACAAATAATTTTTTTTTTTCAAAAAATTGTTGAAACGTCAGAACAATTGAGAATAAAGGGAAAGATGAAAAGTATAAAAGATAATTAGTTCATTGGAGTCTATCAGTTTTTTAACAAAATTTGTTTGATATTTTTTTAAAAGAAAATATTTATTGGTTTTTACATAGCTAGATATAACAATCAACTTGTTAAATCACTTAAATTTAACCAAATCAATATTAAAATCAATTTAAATTAAAAGTTAACCGGATGAATTCTTTAGGCGAAAGTTTAATGACTATTAAATATAATTGCTGGGGTTCCAAACAATGTAATAATTCATGGACATGGTGATATCTGGGGACCCTCCATGGAAAGAGGACGCTGTTTCTCTCCCAAGTGGGTTGCAGAGTTTGGTGGATTTTTATTTTTTTTAATTATCTAAAAGGTGGAAAACAATTCTTCTTTGTCCTTATAAACGGGCATGTAAAGGGCAGGGCAGCCATGATTCATATCCTTGTATTCAAATAAACTCTTGATTAAAGCTGCTGGGTGGATCTCACCAGAAAACTCAATGCCACAGTGGAGACAGATAGCAACTTGACACGGTGAGATTGAACCAGATTCATCCATCTCCGCGAGTAGAGAGACACTCAAGCCCATAAACAATTTGAGGGAGTCGTGTTTTTTTTGTCTATTGTTTCCTCTCACCATGCAGTAAGGCCATTGTTAGCCCGTACTCCTCTGTCTGTGGTTTCCTCCCACCATGCAGTACGGCCATGGTTAGCCCGTGCTCCTCTGTCTGTGACCATTATCTCAGCTCGATGTTGCTCTTGTCTGATACATTCTTCCTCTGGTAATTATAAAGATTACTTCGCCTTTGGCTGCTTCCATGCAAGACGTTTATTATGGCAGAAACCATCCTTTCATGACCTAAATTCTCTTCTCTCTCTTTTTATTTATTATTATTATTCTGTGAAATTGATGCAAATCATTTTTTTTATTGGATGATAATGAATGATCTTGAACCAACGTGTGCATGCATTAATGAAATATTCTCGTATCAATTTATACATTAATAGAAGAAATTAAATGCAAGTCTTCACGTAAGATAAGAACAGAGATGATGACATGAACCAAACTATTATTAAAATTAGGTTGTTTTCATTAAAAAAATAAATTATTTATTTATTTATGAATAGACTTGACCATTCCACAAACTGAACCTCGAGTCAAGTATTGTAACTATGGTATAACCCAAATTATGGATTTAACCCACAATTGGTCCTGAAATCTTTTAAATTTTTTTAGTCATTTCTTTGTTCTAATCTCATCCTCATATACCATATATTATGTTTTGGTTATTTTGTATAAATTCATGATTAAATAGCTGGTATATGCATGTTTAACCACTAGACAAGATATATAATTGTGATTAATCATGGATCCAAATAAAACAGTCTAAAAATAAGCTCTTGATAAATCCCTAAAGTATCACACATTCTTCAATCGAGTCCTTCATGGCTCAATAAAACAATTCTAGCCATTTAGAATAAAACAAGAAAATGGATAATACTTGAGAAATCAAAATTAAATCTTACCAAAAGAATTCCACAGAATACACGAAGAAATCCAAGTCAGGTGACGTTCCCTTACGAGCAGTCAATGGCTTTGGAGCTTCCCCTGTTATTTTCTATCATTAACAAGAACAATAATTGATCTTGGGCTCCAGCACGTGACATCCATACCCTGCTGCCTGCTGTCAATTCTCATCACAGCACGTGTCTCCTATCACGTGACTGGGAAGTAAAGAAAAAGATAAAAGTATCCACTTGGCAACTCCTCGAGGGTACATCATGTAGGTGTTGGGTTACTATTGGTGTTGGGATACTGTCAACACCAGTTGACTCCTCCCGTTACCTGCTCCAAAATTCTCACAGTACATCGACGTCGATGGGCACTCATAATTCCACGAAACAAATTGACATTTTGTACCGTCCAAGCAAAACGGTGACTAACGGGAGTCGTTATGATGGGAAATCCCACTTGCAGCAAGCGTTTACGCGTTGATGTTAACGTCTAATCTTTTTATAAAGTAATACCAAGAGGTGAATTTTGAGGGATGTGATATTTTTTTTTAAAGTATTTTAAAAAAAATATTAAAATACTAATTTTTTATTTTTTAAAATTTATTTTTTAAAAAAAAGTATTTTAAAAAAATATTAAAATATTAATTTTTTATTTTTTAATTATAAAATAAATTTTAACAGAAAAAACAAGTTAAAACTCGTTGTCATACAATAAAATAAATTTAAAATAAATTTTAACAGAAAAAAACAAGTTAAAACTCGTTGTCATACTATCAGAAAACATAAATAATTAAATACCTAACTTTAAGATTTTACATTTTTCAACTAGTAACGTGTAATGTTCATCTCCAATATCGTGGGGTTACGAGAGATTTGAATTAGATGAATGAAATGGCTAGCAAAAAATAAATTAACACGTCGCTTTTAAACGTTTTTATAAAAAAAAAAGTTTTATACTATTTGAACTTTTTTTTTTAAATAGCCACGATAATACGTTGATTTAAATGTATCGGTTTGTAGGTCTAAGTACAATCTTAAAAATTAATAAAAAAATAAATTAATTTTTTTAAAAAATTTAAGACGGTAATTTTTTCAAAAACAGTATTAAAACACTAATATATTAAATCTACTTTGCCATTTGCTATTTGGGTTATTGGTTCTGTTGAGTTTAATAAAAAAAATTATAATTTTTTTTAATTACCTGATAAAAATAAATGCTCATAAAATTAAATATTAGTTTAAAAATAGAAACTTATTTAAGATAATTATCCCTCGTAAGTAAACAAAAATCAACAATACAATACATTTCTCAATCAACCTAATATTAAATAGTACAATTAAAATATCAAAAAAAAAAACATATCATATCGGTATGTAAATTCATCAAACTTACCAACTAGGTTATGAATTCTACGGAGATTATTATTTGTTTTTTTAAACTATATGATAATAAAATTAATAGATTGTGAAATCAAATATCAACCTAATATCAAGATATTTGTTTTTAGATCATGATAACCTCATCAAATGCTAAACAAAACCAATTATGAAATTAAATTTTTAATTAATCCATTATCTAAGAATTTAAAAAATAATTTAAAAAAGTTAAACTTTTTAGATAAATAAATCAACTCAACCAGCCACTTATGCTGACATTATGAAAATAAAATAAAAGGAAATAAATTATGAATCTAAATTCTTAAATATCCTAATATTAAAAGATAAAATTGACAAATTTTTTTTTTAAATCATAAAAAATATTCAAAAAGAAAATAAAAAATAAATCATAAAAAATATTCAAAAAGAAAAAGAAAGAAGAAAGAAAGTAAAACATTATAGATTATTATTGTTATTTATTGTGTAATGTCCGTGGGTAAACAATGGTTTTTTCACTTCATTTAATTTTTATTACTTCATAAAGTTTATTAACATGAATTTTCTCTAAAACTATTTTTTAACCATATAAGAAAAAATAAATTATAAAAAAATTAAATTTAAATAAAAAAATAGACAACCCATCAAACTTTTAAATAGAGGCAATTTAAACGCTAACCTTATATAAAGATAAAATATAAAAAAGTAAATTATAAAATTAAATTTTTAATAATTTTAAATTTAAAAAATAAAATCAATAAATTTTTTTTAAAAAAAATGATAACAAAAATTCAAAAGAGAAGAAACAAAATATCATGGATTACTATTGTAATATACAGTATAATAAGTATCAGATAAAAAGTGATTTTCTCCATATCTCTTAATTTTTGTTATTTTATAAAGTTTAATAATATAGTTTTATTTTAAAATTATTTTTTTAATAATATAAAAAAATAAACTATATAAAAAATCAAGTTTAATTAAAAAAACATATAAAATCTATAAACTAGAGCAATTAATGATATTTTGATAAATCCACAAACTACAACATTAATTTTATAAAAAGATAAAATTATAAAATTAACTTATTTACTGTATCAATATTAAAAAATAATAATAATAAAAATAATTTTTTAAAAAAATTATGATAAAAAGTTATGTATTAAAAAATAAAAAATTTACCGCAATGTTTAGGAAAATAAAAATTCAAAGCTTTCCCACGTCTTTTAGCTTTTCTTATAATTGCGGAGAAAATTGCAACAAATTAACAATTTCAATCACATCAATACTCCAATTTCTCTTGAGAAACTCAAGAAAACTTCACTTCTGTCCACCATCCACTCATCCAAGATATAGAGCCTCGAGCCTCACGCCCGTCCCCATACCATTTTATAAAGTAAAACCACTTCCTGTTTCCTGTTTTACAAATCCGCTACTTGTCCTTCTATAAAATAACACACCCACGCCTGCTTCAAAACACTAGACGAAGCTTGATATATTTCTCTCACTTCAATCTGTAATTTCTGTTCCCCCAATATATCGGAAGACCCCAGAAATGAGTTATTTGAACCGGGTTTGGATGGCAGCTACCGTGGCTGCAGTTGGATACCCTGATCAAGGGTGGAAATCCAGCTTAAAATCACTGCACCATGGCAAGAGGAGGGTGTTCTCTGGCGGAGATGTGGTGGAGATCCGGCCACTTGCTGCTGCTTCTGTCGGATCGGATTGTATTGGTCTTGGAGGTTGTGGATCGGAAGGGGGAGTGAGGCAGAACGATGAGTCTCTCCGACAAGTCATGTACTTGAATTGCTGGGGCCAGGGGTAACCAGGGTGAGAAGGTCGCGGTGACCGAGTGACTCAGTGATGAGTTTCAGAGTCCAAGGTGATTGACTAGGTGGTGTTCTTTAGCCGATCAACTCAGCGGTGTGTTGGCCTGCAGCCTGGGGGATTTGGCCAGAGTTGACCAGATAGTGGATTGTGATCGATTGACCCAGCAGTGAGTTGTAGAGTCCGAGGCAAGTGACCAGGTGGTGAGTTGTGGAATCAACGTTGAGAGGGGATTGACTTTACATTGTGAATTTATTGCGGGGATGAGGAGATGATGGAAAAAAAATTAATGTGAATTTGTACAGAAACAAAATGTTAAAAATAATATTGCACTGTTTTTGTCTTATTTTATTTACTTATATTTATACCCATTATGATTGAATATTCAAATTAAATATTGTGAACTTCAAAAACCACATCTCTTCAGGAACTTTCATTTTTAATAAGATTTTTTTTTTTTAAAAAAAAAGAAGACAACATAATATTCAAGCATCAACATGGCATGTCTATTCTTACATGAACATTAATCACGACCTTAATTTTTCATATATTAGTTTGTTCCAGCTCTTGCACTTTCCAATTTTCGTAAAATAGAATCTGTTTGTTGATCGTTAAAAACTGAGTTCATTTTTATTTGAAATAACATAAAATTATTAAATAGCTCCTAAAAAGATAATGAATATCTGGAATAGATAGGTGTCATGTGATATGTTCTAGGCCGCGTTAATTTTTTTTTATAATGGAAAAAACAGGGTTTAAGTGATGTTTTGTTTTGAAAAAGGTCAAAACAAAATCCAAAATTTAGGTTATTGATTTAGTTCAATAAATTCACTCACTTGATTAACAAAAAGCTTTTCATAGTAAATGAAGTGAAATATTTTTTTTATAATGATTAATTATAAAAAATAAGTTTTCAATATTATAAGAGAATAAAAAAAATCAATTAAAGACTAGTTGTTTCTCTAATACTACCGTCTCACCACTAGAAAACACTCACCAAAATAGTTTTATTGCCACCACGAAAGTAGAAGTAATCGTTTGCGATTTAGCTCAGTTTTTACCTATAACAAAAGGAAAATTTTAAAAAAACTAAACCCGATTCCAACAAATTGATTTCCATTTGGTTTGGTTTTCTATGTCAAAAATTAAAAAAATCTATATTGTTTTTTAACATCTTAAAGACACAAAATCAAACTCATCTTTATCATTAGCAGCTTGTATGACAGTGTTGAATCTATGCCAGCCTTTTCTCAAGCAACTGACCTCCCTTATAAGCACAAAACACATCACCTCCCTTATAAGCACAAAACACATCGTGCTTTCTCACAGAAATTAATCACTCCTCATTATCACAAACCCAAAAACCTATATCATAAAAAACCATACTCTTAAATACAAATTGCCACCACCACAATAAACACTACTGAATGTCCATTGCCACTTTCTTTACCTATCTTCCTTTAATAAAAAAATCCAGCAATTGCCAATAATCCAAACTATAGAATTAAGCCTAGCTCCCATCCTTGTTGCCTTAACTAGTCACTTGCTTTAGCCACCCTCATCACCAAACCACACCAGTTTCTATAAAAAAAAACATTGCCAATAACCTAACAACCCAAACCGCCACCAAGACTGAAGATCACTTATCATCAAAAGCTACACATTTTTCTCATCTCTCTTTTGCCTAATTAAATATATTCATAAACTCATTTCATTATTCATGGGTAATCATTAAATGTCAAATTAATTTTTACTTTTTATCAATAAGTTCCGTTGGATTTCTATTTTTGTGGCATGACCAAAATGGTGCTAAAATAAGAAACAAAAACTATTAGGCAAAAAAGAAATCTTACTGTTGCTAATGCTTAGGGGTGTTGCTAGGATGATAGATCTAGAGATGCAAATTGAAGAATGAAGATTGGAAGTTTAGGTGTGACATGTGGGAGCTTGGGTAGAGGTGGTTGGTTTGCAAGACATAGTGATAACTGATGAACATTATGAAATTAAATTAATGAAGATTAAAGAATAAAGAATTCAGTGTAGACTTGTGAGTTTTAAATGTTATAGGAGGCTACGAGGATTGAGGAGGTGTGGTGTGGGTTGTGTGACGTGTCTATATGAGAGGTATTTATAGATTTTTTTTTTAATTTGAACCGGTTTGGTTCGATTTGAGTTTATTGATTTTAGCATTATGAAACCGAAATTTTCTAAATATTGTAACTGATTTTTTTTCATAGTTAGGTTTTTTCGGTTGTTATTTTTTCAATTTTTTACTCACCCCTACACAAAAGGTGGCACTATGATACTGAAAAAGATCATGAGTGTCGTAAGAGCAATGACCTATAAAGAAAATCAAACAAAATATCATGAAGTGAACATCTCATGCTTATATTTAATCAATTAATTTAATTTAATTCAAAACAAGATTTCTTTTAAAAAAGCTAAACTTAACAAACAACAACTAATAAAAAAAATCTTAAATAGACCGAATCATTTTCAAAATCAATAAAAAATCTTATAGAAAATAAATAAAAAAAAATAACGAAACCCAGACTTCAATTAAATAAATGCTGAAGAATAAAACTGAAAACAATAAGCTTATAAAATAATAATAAAAAAAAAAACAAATAAATTTGTGTCAATCTCTTGAATCTAGGTTAATCTTTCAAACTTGCAACTCGTGAAATCCTTAACCCGGGCTCAGTCAAGAGGCTCAATTCATAACCAATTTAATATCCAGGAATGAAATCGAAAAAAAATGTCAATTTAATTTTTTTTTAAAATAAAACAATAGTAATCAAAATAATGATGATCAAATTTAATAGGAAAAAAATTATAAGAAGATCAAATTGCAAGAAAAAAATTCAATTTTAAAAATTATTTCAAATAAAAAAAATAACAATTGAAAGAATAGAGATCAAATTTGAGAGATAAAAATATTGAAGGAGGATGAAATAAAAAAATTCTTAGTTTATAGATTATTTCAAAAAAAAAAAAAACATGGGTCAAATCTAAAGAAAAAAACAAATTGAAGGGTAGTTTTAAAAATTTAAAAGGTCAAGTGCAAAAATCAAGAAAAATAAAGAAAAGAAAGAAAAGGTTGTTGATGTCAAATCAAAGATCCATTAGCCACACGTGTCGTCTAGAAATAGAGGGACAACTAAGATAATTCGAACATTGCTCTGGAAGCTATCATTTGGTAGCTGGAAGCCCTCCCGCTTGTTGCTTGAATGATGCAGGCACAACTCACACGTTGATATATATAATGCAAGTGCCAACTACTTTTTTCAAATAATATTTATATTTATTAAATAACTAAATTGACACTCGATCAACTTGATTATAGCTAAAAAAATCCATTAAATGCAAGTTTGGTAACTCTTTCTTTTAAGGATAATTTAGTTATTTTATTGTATTAAAAAAAATAAAAAGCATTAAAAGCCCCTGAACATCAGTTTAATGATTTTTGCTTTTAAGAGTAATTAAGTTATTTTATTATGCTAATAAAATATAAGAAGATCAATTTATCCCGAATCAATATGATAATGACTAATAAATTCTAATAAAAATATTGTTTTACCCTTAATGACCGGTTCATTGTTTTTTGTTTAGAAAGGCCAAGAATGTCATTACATTATAGAAATCCATAATATTCTAAATGTGTATACAATGAAACATTAAGGCCTCTTAATTTTTTTTCGATATGTTCTACTTGGTACTTTGAAAGGATTCAATAGGATAAATTATTCATTTCATTTTGATATTATTAGGAAAAATCAAGTAAAATGTGTTTCCTTTTGTTTGTTTGCAAGTAAGATTTTTTTTAATGATTTATTAAAAAAATATATTATTATTTTCAGGATAACGAAAAGATTTGGGATGGTGTTACTTATATGAACAGAACTTCTATTTTTTTTTAATTTTCATATTTAAACTTTTATTTTATTGTTTTTTTTTTTTTGGTCTATTTGATGAGATGATTTAAATTTGTAAAAGAAAATCAACATTCAAAGAAAGAGAATGTAAAACACATGAAAACCACATGGTCAATTTGAAAATCACTTAAAAAGATATTTTGGTCTAAAAATTTATTTTTATTTATTTTTTTCACTCTCTAATTTTGAGAAAAGATAGAGACTAGTAAAAAACAAAGATGAAAGAGAAAGAAAGATGTGGAATCGCCACATTTCAATCACCAATAAAAACAATCTTTGTATTGATGAACTCCTCTTTTCTAGAGGAGTTCAAAAAAGATATTTCCTATAAATATTTCAAGAAAAAAAATTGATATTTATTTTTTATTTGGTTAATTTTTTTTGTTTTGAGTGTTTTGGAGTGTTTTGAGGTTGATATGTGGTTTTTAGAGGATTATATTGTGTTTTAAAGGTGTTTTCAAAAAACAAAGAATATTAAAATTTGAATTTTTGGAATTCTTGGACCCTGATTTTAAAATAAATTTAAAATAAATTACTTTTTATCTAATTTTTTGTTTTTAAATATAGGAGTAGACATTATCCTCTTCTAATAAAAAATATACGAGGCACACTTAGGTTTTTTTTATTAAGGTTAGGCGTGTAAGTCTGACCAATCAATATATGACTTCGTTTATTTTTATCCCTTTACATATATTTTTTTTTAATTGCATGATACTTTAAAGTGATTTTGATTTTTGTTGAATTTTTTATAAAAACATAAATAATTTTTTATTAGCAACACATTCAACCACTAAGATAAAATGAATGAAAATATTTTAAAGAAAAAGGGCAGCTTGTGCATCAATCTTTTATTTTTATTATGAAGATTAGTTTTCTATTTTAATTTTTAATTAGTATTAATTTATATATTTCTTAGTTTATTTTATAAAGCATAAACATCCTTTTGTTTCTCAAATAAAAATATATGATACATGAAAACATATTCATAAATTAATTATTTTTTTCATGTTAAAAATTGACTTGAAATCTTACCTATAGCATAAACATATTTGTGTTTCTTAACTAAAAATATCTTGATATTTTAAAATATATCCACAACATTAACATATTTTTTATTGTATTCAAAATTAACTGGAAATTCTATCTGGTATAGAGCACAAGTGACAAGACTAGTTAAATACATAAATGATATGATTATTTTTTAAAAAAAATATAGAAGCCTTTTTTAAAAAAGAAAGAAAGAAAAGAAATTGACTTGATTTTATAAATTATAAAAAAAACACAAATATTTCTTTAGAAAGGAGTGTAATTGATAAAATGAGTGATATATTTCTTAGCTTATTTTATATATAAAAAAAAATTCTGAATTTTTTAAAAAATTCAGTAATAAAAGTTAACTTCATTCATTTTA